ATTTTACCAAAAAAAAAGGATCAATAATATACCAATATTAGTTCATTGTGACAACCATACCACCTAATGCAAGATGTAAAAGGAAACTGGGTATGGGGTATATGAGAATTCTTTGTAGTAGCTTGAAAACTTCCCTGCAAATCTAAAATTATTTTAAAATGAGATTATTTTTTGCCAAGTAGAAAAAAGAAGAGGAAAGCAAGAATGATGGTAATAAAAATGATGGCCAACTCAGGACAATACTGTACGTCCTTACCCGAATTAATGATATTGTGCAGTGAGAGTTTGCCATTGTGGCAGGTGTCACAGGGCAGTCAGACTTCTTAGTAGAAGACAGTAAACTCTAATAGTGTGCCTAGTTTATGAATAGTAACTCACCTAGTGGGTTACTAGCAAGTACTCAGTTGTAGTTAAAAATTAGTGTATTGTATATTTTTAAAACAAAATGTTTAAAATTTTAGATCAGTTTATGCAATAAAGAAAATTCTCTGTGCCTACCACTGGGCTGCAAACCACATTTCACCTTGTGATACTAGTGTTTTGCAGTTGACTGTTCCCTAGAGGAGGCCTAATGCTTTCAAACAAAAATATGTCATAATTTTGAGGGCACTAAATATATCTTCCCTACATCATTTATCTTTCCTTTCTTCTGTTCATCCAAGAAAACTCCGTAAACGCAAAGACAAAGCATGCACCAAGAAGATTTTTGATGGTTTTACAAATACTTATTTTAGTTTAAATTAATCCAAAGAATTCATGTCAAAGGTAAAAGTAAAGGTAAAGCTATTTTTAACCAAAGATTAATTATATGTGAAAATAGATTTTAAGCAATTTAAACCAGTATTAGAATAAGAAATTTTGCATAACAGTGTAAACTCTTGAAGTGGAATTGTAATATTCATGAATACTGAAGCTTTTCAGTTTGGTGATATTAAAATGAGTAATTGAATAAATAAGTGTTAAAATGCTGCCGTTGGAAAATGATTTTTAATCCCTTAAATCCGAAAATACCTGAATGGAAACACTTTTATCGCTTTAAATATTAGCTTTCATGATTCACATATCTTAGTAAGGCAGAGTTCTTCAATTCTTTTGAGAGTTTACATACTGTAATTAACATACAGCAGAAATGGGGCGCCTGGGTGTCTCAGTTGGTTAAACATACAGCAGAAATTTTGTCAGTTAGCAGTTACTATGTAGCAAAGCATCCCCAAATTTAGTGATTTAAAACAACAGCTATTTATTATTTCTCCTGAGTTAGTGGGTTGGCTGGTAGTTTTAATTTGGACCAGACTTTTCTGTGAAAGGTTTAACTGGTTGGTTGAGATCTGCTATTTAGCTGATTGGGACTGAGCCGAACCGATGGGACAACCTGACACTCCTCCATGTGGGCTCTCCTCCTCAAGCAAGCTAGCCCAGACTTATTCTCATATAGGTGTGTCATGGTGGAGAGCGCAAGAAAGAGAGAAGAGAGAAAGCATGCAAGGTCATTTGAGCCCTCGTCTTGGAAAAGCATGTTACTTCTGCCTTATTCTCTCGGCTAAAGCAAATCAAGACCAGCTCATATACAAGGAGTGGGGAAATAAATTCTGCATCTTGATGGGAGGAGTTTCAAAGTCACATTGCAAAAATCATAGATACAGGGAGGAAGGAGTGGAGAATTGGGGCCATTTTGCAGTCATTCTAAAACTGATTGTAAACAGAACTTTGGCAAATTTGAAATAATATTCAGAAGAATCACCTGCTTAATTCAGGTAGATTCTTTTCTGTGCATGTAAAACCAAACAGGTGAATTAACTATCGCTTTATTTTGCCTTTATTGTAATAATATTCCTTATGGTAACTTAAAATAGGCACTATTGTTTTTAAAGGGCAAGTGTCAGTTTTAAACAGAAACACAGTTTAAATTTTATTTTCTTTATTATTTTTTTAAAGATTTTTATTTATTTGACAGAGAGAGACACAGTGAGAGAGGAACACAAGCAGGGAGAGTGGGAGGGGGAGAAGCAGGCTTCCTGCAGAGCGGGGAGCCCGATGTGGGACTCGATCCCAGGACGCTGGGATCATGACCTGAGCTGAAGGCAGACGCTTAACATTAGAATTGTCTCTGGTTGCCCTTGGATTTATCATTTTTGACTATTACTGTGTCAGTTTTGCATCAGTCTTCATTCTTTTAATTTACCTAAAAGAATCATTGTAATCTCTTCATTGCATCAATTTGTAGGGCATACCTTTTTAGATTTTTTTTTTCTTGGTGTGGAAAATATGTACAGGTGTTGATGTGTGCATGTGATTGGCAGAATTAAGTATCTTTACTGTTATGCTTATTACAGTATATACCCTGTTATGCCGTTCATTTAATAGAGCTTAAAAACTTTTTGTTGAAGTATAACATACACATAGAAAAGTGCATGCACGTATCATGAATATAGAGCTATATGAGTTTTTAAAAATATTTTATTTATTTATTTGACAAAAAGACCAGGAGAGGGAGAAGGAGGCTCCCTGCTAAAGCAAGGAGCCTGATGCAGGACTCGATCCCAGGACGTTGGGATCATGACCTGAATCCTAGGCAGGCGCTTAACCAACTGAGCCACCCAGGGGCCCCAAGCTATATGAGTTTTTAAAAACTGGGTGTTTCTTGGTAATCAGCATCTGGGTTGAGAAATTGAACATTACCAGCATCCTCTAATCCCCTTCATGTTCTCTGTCACAGTCTCATGTTCTCCATCACTGCCTCCAAGAGTAACAAATATCCTTATTCCTAATCCTATGCATTAGTTTTGTTCTTTATGTAACCATTTACGTATAATACATACTCTTCTGAGCTTGACTCTTTTAGAATAGGATGCTGTTAATATTTCTCTATGTCGGTATAGGTGAGAAATAATAATTACATTTAATTTGGTCAGAGGTCCTTTTAAAATTTAAACTAAAATTTTGAAATTGGGTACTGAATGATAGACTCAATCATAAGTTACCAATAATATATTTATTTATTTATTTATTTATTGGGGAAAATATATTTTAATTCATTATAGAATATACAGAAGCAGTGATTTTCCTCTTCTTTTAAGAAATAAATCATGATCTTTTTAGTTTCTTGAGTAAAAGCAAAAGGGGACGTTAGTGTCTGTAATTATTAAAATCAGAATTCAAGTAAAATTTACTGTGCATGAAAAAGGTCATCTATTTTATTTTCATGCCTTTAGCCCTGTATCACTATAGAAGATTATCAAGCCTTACTTTAAAAAACTCTAGAAAGAGTGACTTAGCAGCTTCTTTGATAATGTGTTTTGCTATGAGGATTTCCCTGAAGTTTTCAAGTTGGTTGTACCAAGATATAAAAAAGGAAAACTATGTGTGTGAGATAGCATCAGTGACATTTTAGTTCTTTAGCATCTAATCTCAGACAATTCTTTTGTGTCACTTTAAGTCAGGTATTTCTGTGTTTTCCTTTGAACTTGAGAGCAATCAGTTACATCCCCTCTTTTCTATACTAAAGTTTTCTCCCTAAAAAAACAGAGGAATCTCATGTCAAATCTTTTTTTTTTTTAAGATTTTATTTATTTATTTATTTGAAAGAGAGGGAGAGAGAGAGCACAGAGGCAGAGGGAGAAGCAGACTCCGTGCTGAGCAGGAAGCCCAACATGGGGCTCCATCCCAGGAGCCTGAGATCATGACCTGAACTGAAGGTAGCCACTTAACCACCCGGGCGCCCCTCACATGTCAAATCTTAATGGCCTCTGGTACTTATTTTGAAATCTTTTCATTTTGACCCATTCATCTTATTTTCATGGACATCGAGCTTTCTGGTTCTGATTCTGTTCTGGTTCCATTGCATTCTATTGTTAATTGTTTTTTTTTTCTCTGATTTCTTCATTAGCTTCTTTTTATTTCCATTAATACTGGGCATCATCCAAAGTTCTCTTTTAGGTTTCTACCCCCATTTCTTCTCAGTAACTCTTAATACATATTAGATAATGCTTATTTGCATGAATCCTTATTAATATGTATCTAAACTCGACATCTTTCTATTTCTCTCATATATTTTTACCAATTTATTTAGATATGCCTCCATTTTTTAAATATGTCACACATCACTTCTGTTTTTCTGGTCTTCCCAGTCCCCTCTACTTATTTCTTTGCCACTATGGACAGCATCATGATCTTCATAGGATCTAAGAGTCTTTATCTGAATATCATTATTGGTTTTATTTATTAAAACCAGAGGATTACTGTTATATTCTATAGTAGTTCTGCCTTATTAATATATATGGTCATATCTAAATGATTTCCCTACATAAATAAATATATACTGATTATCATTATTGCTAAGATATAATCATTAGAATTCAAAATAAAGGAGAAATCATTTGTTCCTCTTTTATCTCCTAGTAAATAATGCCGTTTTCCCCCCAGGAGTTGCCATGTTGTTATAAATTTCCCTTCTGAAGTGCCTCAAAAAAAATTAAAACAATCTCCTCCTTATTTCCTTTCCTTCTGTGTTTTGGTTTCACTTTTTATATGTGAATGATACAACATTTGAAGTGTATTTAACCATATAAATTAAAATCATTATAGGGGCTCCTGGGTGGCTCAGTTGGTTAAGCGTCTCCCTTCGGCTCGGGTCATGATCTTGGGGTCCTGGGGTCCTGGGATCAAGCCCCTCATTGGGCTCCCTGCTCATTGGGCCGTCTGCTTCTCCCTCTACCTGCTGCTCCCCCTGCTCGTGCTCTCTTTTTCTCTCTGTCTCTCAAATAAATAAAATCTTTAAAAAATAAAATAAAATCTTTCATTATATTCACTCTGCATTTTTTTTTCTGAGTGAACGTTTTACTTCAGCAAGCTTATTAACTTTTTTCCATAGTTTTATTACTATATAACTTTATTGGTATTGAAGCACAAAATTATTTGAACTTGATTTTTTTCTCCATATTTTCATTGAAGAAGGGTTTTTCTCCTCAGGAATAAGAGCTGTAATTTTTTCGCCCCCTCAGATTCTCCTGAGAATGATATTCCTATGGAGATCACAACAGCAGAACCACAAGTTTCTGAAGCAGTATATGATTGTGTTATTTGTGGACAGAGTGGCCCCTCCTCTGAAGACCGACCTACAGGATTGGTTGTACTGTTACAAGCATCCTCAGGTAAAATCAAAGTAATTTTTCAGTGGGATTATTTTAGAGCCAAAGTATATACAACATATTAATAAATATCTGTATTAATTGAAAGTTATATGTTGGATATAACTATAGATCTAAATAGCAAGGATCAATTTAGATCTGTATAGCAAGGATTTTAAACTTGATTATATCTGACTTTCCTGGACATGAGTGTTAGAAGAAGCCCTTAACAGAGAAGTTTCTCTGTATGTTTACACAATCTTTTTTCTTAAAGTGTGATGGTATATTACCAGTGCTAGATGGCCAATAATGGAGTTCAGCTTTCTTAACAATTTAGTTGTTTTAAAATTGGGAAGCATTTTAAGCCCAGATATATTGTCAATTTAAATATTTTAACTACATAAGGCACATTCAGGTAGTTTTGCCTTTATTTCTTGAACTACTAGAAGCAGTAATTCTTTTTTTTTTTTTATGTTATGTTAATCACCATACATTACATCATTAGTTTTAGATGTAGTGTTCCATGATTCATTGTTTGCGTGTAACACCCAGTGCTCCATGCAGAACGTGCCGTCTTTAATACCCATCACCGGGCTAACCCATCCTCCCACCCCCCTCCCCTCTAGAACCCTCAGTTTGTTTCTCAGAGTCCATCGTCTCTCATGGTTTGTCTCCCCCTCCGATTTCCCCCCCTTCACTTTTCCAGAAGCAGTAATTCTTGAAACAGCCTGCTGAATGATACCTTTGCCAATGAAATTTAAAAAAATTTTTTTAAATTTTATTTATTTTAGAGAGCGCATACACATGAGCAGGGGGAGGGGCAGAGGGGGAAGGAGAGAATCTCAAGCAGACTCTGCACTGAGTGGGGAGCCTGACATGGGGCTCCATCTCACCACCCTGAGATCATGACCTGAACTGAAATCAAGAGTCAGACATTTAAGCGACTGAGCTACCCAGGTGCCCCTAAAAATTTTCTTTGAAAAATTTTTGAAGGATTTGTCTGAATGTTCTCTATCCTTTCCCGTGCTAAAGTATTTTAAGATGTGATAACCCTTACACACTCTAGTCCCATTGAATTCAATCCATTTTCTTTTTTTTGAATTCAGTCCATTTTTAACAGGAGTTTGTGTGAAGCAAAAAGAAAATAAAATTCTTACACATTTCTCCTGAGCATTTTTTTCTAGGGTGTTTATTCTCTGAATTAGTATAGTGAAGTGGAAAGAGATATGCGTCCCCTGAGTTCAAATACAGGTCCTGCTTGACATAATCTGGCCAAGTTTGTTGCTTTCTTTTAACTATAGAGATCATATTGACTTCAGAGGATTGTTGTGTTGGTTAAGTAATGTAATATAGGCAAAAGGATCTAATATGATGCCTGGTAAATTAGTTTCTCCTCTTGTTACTTTTCTTGCTTAAAAATAAAATTGATTTGGGAAACCCCATTTGAATAGGACATTGGGGTAGAGCTGTCACGAGAAATGCCTACTAAAAAGGAAATGTGTGGGGTACTTGGGTGGCTCAGTGGGTTAAGTGTCCAACTCTTGATTTTGGCTTGGGTCATGAGATCAAGCCCTATGCTCAGTGGGGAATCTGCTTTCCCCTTCTCCCTCTGTGCCACCCTCCCGTCCCACCATGCATGCTTTGTCTCTGTCCAATAAATAAATCTTTAAAAAAATAAAAAGGAAATGTGTGGGAGTATTGACTGACTAGTTTTGTAGCTATTTCTATTTTCTGCTACTGTGACAAAACTGACCTATTAGATTTTTGCCAGTTAACTTTTTTTTTTTTTAAAGATTTTATTTATTTATTTGACAGAGAGAGAGACAGCTAGAGAGGGAACTCAAGCAGGGGGAATGCTGAGCAGGGAGCCTTATGGGGGGCTTGATCCTAGGACTCCAGGATCATGACCTGAGCTGAAGGCAGACGCTTAACAACTGAGCCACCCAGGCGCCCCAGAACTTAACTTTTTATAACTTTTTCACCAAATACTTTATAATCATCAGTGTAATGTTTTATTTATGCCTTCATTCATTCATTCCACATATATTTATTGGGAACCTAGGTGCCAGATACTGTCATAGTATGAAACAAAGCAAAACAAAATCTCTGCCCTAATGAGGGCAGAGATTTTGTTTTTGTTGTTTTAATCTTTATTTATTTATTTATTATTTTGTATTTTTAAAGTTGCCTTGACCAAATTGTCACTTCATTTAACTCCTATTCACAATTTTGTACACTAGCTAAGCTTGTTAAAATTAGATAATTCCACTATATTGTAGCTCTTTTATCTTTTATAGATAGAAGGAAATGAATAAGAAACTAACAAGAAAAAGCGTTAGATCTCTAAAGAGTGATTTTAATTGGGAACTGTAGCAGGTGAAATCTCCGGCTGTTTCCTTACTTTCTTTCTGAGCCTCACACACCTACTGACATCTTGCATTTTACCCCTCTCTACGTTTTCCTTACTTCTGACATCTTTCTTTTCTTTTCTTTTTTTTTTTAAAGATTTTATTTATTTATTTGACACAGAGAGAGAGAGCGAGAGAGGGAACACAAGCAGGGGGAGTGGGAGAGGGAGAAGCAGGCTTCCCGCCGAGCAGGGTGCCTGATGCGGGGTTCGATCCCAGGACCTTGGGTTCATGACCTGAGCCAAAGGCAGACGCTTAACGACTGAGCCACCCAGGCGCCCCACTTCTGACATCTTTCTTTATTTTGAACTGTCCCTTCTCTTTTTCTTTTATCTTTTTAAGTTTGAATATGGAACATTTTGTTTTATTTATTTTTTGTTTCAAGTTTTTATTTAAATTCTAGTTAGTTAACATATAGTGTAATATTAGTTTCAGGAGTAGAATTAAATGATTCACCACTTACATATAACACCCAGTGCTCATCAAAACAAAATCATCATGCATTTAGCCCATCTCCCACCCAACTCCCCTCCATCAACTCTCAGTTTGTTCTCTGTAGTTAAGAGTCTCTTATGGTTTGCCTCTCTTTCCCCCCCCTTTCCCTGTGTTCATCTGTTTTGTCTCTTAAATTCCACATATAAGTGAAATCATATGGTATTTGTCTTTCTCTAAACTGTTTCTCTTAACATAATATACTCTGGCTCTATCCATGTTGTTGCAAATGGCAAGATTTCATTCTTTTTGAAGGCCAAGTAATAATTCTATTGTGTGTGTTATAACACACACACACACATCTTCCTTATCCATTCATCAACATTTGGGCTCTTTCCATAATTTGGCTATTATTGATAATGCCGCCATAAACATGTGTCCCTTTGAATTAGTATTTTTGTATCCTTTGAGTAAATACTTAGTAGTGTAATTCCTGGGTCATAGAGTAGTTCTATTTTTAACTTTTTGAGGACCCTCCATACTTTTTTCCAGAGTGGCTGCATCAGTTTGCATTCCCACCAACAGTGTAAGAAGGTTCCCCTTTCTCTGCATCCTCACCAGCACCTATTGTTCCTGTGCTGTTAATTTTAGCCATTCTCACAGGTGTGAGGTGATATCTCATTGTACTTTTGATTTGCATTTCCCTAATGATGAGTGATGTTGAGCATCTTCCCACGTATCTGTTGGCCATCTATATATACATCTTCTTTGAGAAAATGTCTCTTCATGTCTTCTTCCTGTTTCTTAACTGGATTATTTGTTTTTTGGGGTGTTGAATTGGATAAGTGCTTTATAGATTTTGGATATTTATCAGATGTGATTTGCAAATAACTTCTCCCATTCCATCAGTTGCCTTTTAGTTTTGTTGATTGGTTCCTTTGCTATCCAGAAGCTTTTTATATTGTTGAGGTCATTTTTGCTTTTGTTTCACTTGCCATAGGAGATATGTCTAGTAAGAAGTTGCTACAGCTGATGTTGAAGAGATTACTGCCTGTGTTTTCCTCTAGGATTTTTATGGTTTCAGGTCTCACATTTAGGTCTTTAATCTATTTTGAATTTATTTTTATGGACGGTGTAAGAAAGTGGTCCAGTTTCATTCTTTTGCATGTTGCTCTTCAGCTTTTCCAACACCATTTGTTGAAAAGACTTTTTTCCATTGGGTGTTCTTTCCTGCTTTGTCAAAGATTAGTTGACTATATAGTTATGGGTCCATTTCTGGGTTTTCTATTCTGTTCTATTGATCTATGTGTCTGTTTTTGTGCCAGTACCATACTGTCTTGATGATGACAGCTTTGTAATAGAGCTGGAAGTCCGGAATTGTGATGCCTCCAGCTTTGCTTTTCTTTTTAAAGATTGCTTTGGCTATTTGGGGTCTTTTGTGGTTCCATACAAATTTTAGGATTTTTTTCTAGGTATGTGAAAAGTGCTGTTGATATTTTGATAGGGATTGTATTAAATATGTAGACTGCTTTGGGTAGTATAGACATTTTAACATTATTTGTTCTTCCAATCCATGAGCATGGAATGTTTTTTTCATTTCTTTGTGTCCTCTTCAATTTTTTTCATAAGTGTTCTATATTGTTCAGAGTACAGATCTTTTACCTCTTTGGTTAGGTTTATTCCTAGGTAGGTTATGGTTTTTGGTGCAATTATATTGGGATCGATTCCTTGATTTCTCTTTCTGCTGCTTCATTATTGGTGTACGCAAATGCAACGGATTTCTGTATGTTGATTTTGTATCCTGCAACTTTGCTAAATTCGTGTTTCAGTTCTGGCAATTTTTTGGTGAAGTCTTTCGGGTTTTCTACATAGAGTATCATGTCATCTGCCAATAGTGAAAGTTTGATTTCTTCCCTGCCTGTTTGGATGCCTCTTATTTCTTTTTGTTGTCTTATTGCTGAGGCTAGGACTTTCAGTACTATGTTAAATAACAATGGAGAGAGTGGACATTGCTGTTTTGTTCCTGATTGTAGAGGAAAAGCTCTCAGTTTTTCCCCATTGAGGATATTAGCAGTGGCTTTTTCATATATGGCCTTTATGATATTTAGGTATGTTCCCTCTATCCCTATTTAGTTGAGGGTTTTTATCAAGAATGGATGCTGTATTTTGTCAGGTGCTTTTTCT